TCCTTTATGAAGGCATAGAGCCTTTACTACATGAAAATGAAAATTAATGAATACACTGTGTACAGTAATTTACCTGATAAGACAGACCTCAGAAAAATACTTTATGAGGCATAAAGCTGTCTATAATGAAAATTAATTAACTAAGGATTTTTTTGCCCTGCCAGGGTGTGGCCGAGTTATCTGGACTGCCGGGTTATCGAGTGCTGAGTTTTTGAGACTCTACTGTATTATTATTATTTTTTTTATTTTATTATTATATTTTTTAAATATAAAATATTCATTAAGAGATATGACACATGACCCCTTTTATGTCTTCACTCTGTCGATCTTTAATTAAGAACAAAAATTTTATAGTATTAATGCCCCTTTATACGCAAGCTACAGTGCCACATTTTGTTTCTTAAACTTTACCCATTCTGAGATATTGTTTGATATCACAGAACAGAAAATAAAGAAATTAAACAAATTAGACACCAACACACACATGCACGCTAATTTTTCCCTTTTATTGACTTTTTTTGGGGGTTAGGGAGGTCTCCAAACGTGTAGATTTGCAAAAAAGACTTGGAGGGTCAAATATGAGACATGATTCCAATACTTTTCCATTTTATATACATAACAAGTTGGAAAGTAAAAAGGAGTCAGAGTCGGTGGATATTTTGACAACTCCGACTCCAGCTAAAACACCAAAACTCCACGACTCCGACTCCACAGCCCTGATGTAAAGACAAAAATGCTTCTCTTAAAGAATGCTGTCTTTGGTTTCCTTAATATTAGTTTCTTTTTTTTTTATCTGTGTGAAGTTAAATGGAACTTCTCTGTAATAATTTAAAATATTTTTAAGGCTGCACCTCTAGATACACTGTATCTGTCTTCACCACCACCACCACCACCACCACCTCCATCCACTACCACTGTTGTTACATCAGTTACTACAGTATCTACATTACCTACAACTCAGTCTACTATTGGAGACACACAAACTGTTACGGTTCAGGCAGAACAGTAAGTATGCATTTTATATTGTGTTTTTTAGACAAAAGTATTGAAAATTTAAAATGTAATAATAATTGTTTTGAATACCNGGCCTATTAAGAAGGCCAAAAACGTTTGTACTCCTGTTAATACGGCTAGAAATTAGTGAGAAAGGTTTTGTGCTGATAATCTTAGAAATAGTTCTAGCTACATATTTATATAATATATATATCAAAATTCCCCCACTAGGGGAGATTGTTAGGATTAAGGCTTACTGTAAAAAACTCTGCTTCTATTTATACTATTTTAGATGCGGTTTTTATTGCGTTTTAATAGGGTACGTCAAGAGAATGTACACTAAGAAGAAATTTTTCGAAAAATTCCCCCCATGGGGGAAGTGTTATACATTTATAATAGATAAATTTTGAGTTACAACAACGTGTGCCGGGGTATGCTAGTCTTCAATATAAGTTGTAAGCAGCAAAATCAATGTTGCTCTTCAGAAATAATTATTTTAAAGGTTTTTCTTGGAAAAAAATTCTTAGTCTAACTTTGAGTTATTATAATTCCATTTTAAATTGCAAACAATTGTGTATTGTAATTTGCAGTTAATAATTCACTTTTTTCTCTCAAATGTTCAATTTTGTATTCAGTTAGATTCAAAATAAACATGAATCCAGATTTAGAAAATATATACAAACTTCTAACTCCTGATTGAAATATAATCCTAAAATATTATTTAGATCTCACATTATTCTTTCCTTTTGTAGTTGTCCAGACAAATATTGCTTCTATATCATATTGATAACATCAAAAGCACCATGATATTCAATCTTAATCAAATTTCTTGCAATGCCAGAGAAAACAAAATAGTAATTTCTATTTCAGGAAGAGCAATCTATGATCTAAACCTGCCACTGGGGAGGTCTAGAAAGTTGGTTTTTAAACCAGTTTCTAATCATTGTCTAAATTGAGGTCATTAAGAAATATTATTCTTGCAATGTTCTTTTTCATAATCCATGATTTTAATGAGAATTTTGGTCAATGTTTAGAACTTGTCTCTGCAAATTCATCCATTGTGACTAAATCATTAAAGTTACTTTAATAATGTTGTTATTTATGTTTTTATTTGGTTTTAAATTTTATAATATATTATTGTAAATATTGTTTTTAAATAATTACAATTAAAACTATCAAATTTTAATTAAATGCTTTTTATGCAAATTTAATTATTTAGTCTCAAGTCCTGTCATCAGAGGCAAATTCAACAGAAACTGCACAATGGTTACAACAGCATAGATTTGGTACTTTTGTTCGGACATTTTCCAATTTCTCTGGTAAATTTATTTCTGCCAGTTGATAATGTAACATATCTCTTAAAAATAATAAAAGTAATGTATCATAATGCATAATTTATGGATAAGTTACTTAAAAGTGTTTTTTAGTGTGATGATCATGATGATGATGATAAAAAGAAAGTAAGATTAATATTTTCAAACATCTTTCATGTTTTTTTATAGTAAAGTAGTTTTATGTTATCCTAAAATAGATGTGTAAAACACATCTATTTTAGGATGAAATTATTCCTAAAATATATTATATCTGTATTATAATTACTAATTATTATTATAATGTATTATAATAATGTATTATAATAACTAAAATTATTATATCTGTATAATAAAATAAAATTATCACAATATTAGACTAATGTAAAATAATCTTATTGAGTATATTAATATTTTTAATTATTTTTCATAATAATTTTGTAGGTGCTGATATTTTAAGGCTGTCTCGTGATGATTTAATTCAGATATGTGGCCTTGCTGATGGTATTAGATTATTTAATGCATTGCATTCCAGGTCAGTAATTCATTTACAGATTAAATTTAAAGTATGTTTACTAAAAGTTGAGTTTTATAAAATATTGCTTTAAATTGAAAATGATGTCTNAAAATAATTCTTCGTTGGAAAGAGATTCCACTCAAATGACAAAGTCATCTCTAAAGTAAACGAGTATTTTGCACACCTTGACAAATCGACCTATTGTAATGGCATAAAAAAGCTAGAACATCGCTGGAATAAGTGCATTGCTAACAAAGGAGACAACATTGAAAAATAAAAAAGTTTTAACATTATTTTGTTTGTTGTTCTATTTGAGGCCGCGAACTTTCCGAACAGCCCTCGTATTATGTATGTTTAAATATGTAATGTACATTTGAGATAAATGTTATATTTATTCAAAATGTGATGAGATCAAAAGAAAAAATTATTAGAAAGTTCCAATTTAGAATCTTAGCAAACATTTGATTTGAAATGGTTTAAATCTGAAGTAGGCCCCTAAAAGAGGCCAAAAACATTTGTAAAATTATTGTTATATGAGTTTTGTTAAAATTCATAAAATTATATATGGCCAATGAATGTGATGCAATATGTCTTAGAGCATATTACAGTTCTTCTGGAGCTGGGACTTTCAGAGAATTACACAATACTTTTCTCACTCTTCCAGCAAGAAAAGTTTATTTTGGCCATATATAATTTTATGAATTTTAACAAAATTCATACAACAATAATTTTACAGATTGCCTTCTCTGCTGTTAAATTTTCATGTTTACAAAGTAAAAAAAATTTGTTCATGATCATGAATGAATGAGACTGAACATTCTTGGGATAAATTATGATCATGGGCAAGGTTAGTAAGGAAGTTAATTCCTTCTCATTGTTTTTAATTGTCACAATTGGGAACCCTTTTCAACTTAATAAGGAATTTTAAAACCTTGATAATTTTTATTGATTATAAATAAAACAACAAATAAAAAATTTATCTGTTTTTGTATTTTCAATATAAAATTTATTGAAAATACAAAAACAGATTAATAATGAAAAAGCAGTTATTATTAATTCAAACTGGAATTAATGCAAAGAATTAATTTTCACGGATGTTATCATCATGGTGGGAAAATAAATTGCATTTTTTATTTTTTCAAATTGTTAAACAAACACTAAAGTCTAAAGTATTCAAATATTGCTATTCTCTGGACTACAATTTCTTCAACAGGAATGGGTACTTTAGTATTTGAATTCAAATACCCAAGAAAAATCAAATATATTATTTGATTTTCTTATCATTAGAATTAATGGATTTTATTTTCCACAAATGTCAGCTGTGCCGAATCTGTGCATAGATTTCCTTTCCCTATGAACTTTTAATCATTTTTGAAATATTATTTAAATTTTTTAAAACAAATTTTAAACTAGTAATTAATACTCAAAATTCCATGCTTCAATGTTCTTAGCTTGTGATTGTCAAACACCTGTCTTATCATCCTTGTCTCTTCCCAATTAGTTTATTATTGATATTGTGTTGGTGTTCTTTAATTCTGTAGGCTCATGATCTATTTGTCAATTCCATGTATGTTAGATGCCTGTCAAATCTGCTATCATAAAATTTTTTTTTTCTTTCCACCCTGTGGGCACTAAGAGAGGCCCTTTTAGCAAGTCCATTATGGGTTCGGCCAGGCCCACAATGAGGCGGGTGGTGAGCGATGGGGTCTGACATATCCGGACAGTCCACCCCCTGGAAAATTTCTGGGGATTTTTCTACCCCTCTGGATTTGATCTTGAGTCCCCCAGAGCAGTAGGCTGCCACCTTAACTGCTTGGCCATCAAGTGAGCCTGAGGTGTCTGCTAATTGGAAGGAGCAAGGCTGATAAGACAGGTGTTTGATGATTACAAGTTAAGAACATTGGAAGCATGGAAGATATTTAATGCAATGGTTAAAGGAGAATGCATTAACAGTAAAGACTATGAGGCATTATCATTCTCCTGGTGATCATTGGTTGAAAACTTTCTAAACAGAAATATCATCTGCATTTATCATTTTTTATGTAGTGATATGTAAAATACGAGGGCTGTTTGAAAAGTTCGCGGCCTTGCCTATATGCGGCGCTGCGATCAATTTAATTTTTGGCGGGAATAATTCAGCCATCCTTGCTAAAGATACGATACCAATTTCCGCTTGATTTGTCATAAAGTTTTGCCACGACAGCTTAGCAGATAGTCAATGTGCACATGCTTTGTCAAAAATGGAGAAGACGGAGACTCGCGCAGTCATAAAATATCTGACGAAAATAGGGTTGACCGCATCTCAAATCAAAGCTGACATGGATGAAGTTTTGGGAGAGTCTGCTCCTTCGTAAACCACTGTGAAAAAATGGACAGCCCTTTTTAAATCTGGCAGAGAGAGTGTGAAACATGACCCTCGCAGCGGACGGCCGTCAACTGCTGTCACTGAAAAAAATATCGACAAAGTTTACGATTTGGTGTTAGCAGATCGCCGTTTGAAAACGCGTGAGATAGCTGAGACAACAGGCATCTCTGTCGACCGAGTGCACCACATCTAACCGAAAATTTGGGTATGACGAAGGTCTCAGCAAGTTGGGTGCCGCATCTGCTGACCGCTGAGCAAAGACGTGTTCGCACTTTGATGTCAAAGAAGTGTTTGGACTTCTACAAGAAAAACCCACGGGATTTCTTGTACTGACTACTTGTGACTACTGACGAAACGTGGATCCATTACTACACGCCTGAAACAAAAGAACAGTCGAAGCAATGGAAACACCCCAGTTCGCCACCACCAAAGAAGGCAAAAACAGTTCCATCAGCGGGGAAGTGATGGCCTCGGTTTTTTCGGGATGCTAAAAGAATCATCTTTATTAACTACCTAGAAAGAGGAAAGACCATCAATGCTGTCTATTACTGTATACTTTTGGAAAAACTGAAGAAAGAAATCGAAGAGGCCACACTTGAAGAAGAAGGTTCTGTTTCACCACGATAATGCCAGAATTACTGAACAAAAAATAAACGAACTTAGCTTCCAATTAGTTCCACATTCACTGTACTCACCTGATTTGGCCCCCAGTGACTTCGACCTTTTTCCAAATTTAAAATAATTCTTCGTTGGAAAGAGATTCCACTCAAATGACAAAGTCATCTCTAAAGTAAACGAGTATTTTGCACACCTTGACAAATCGACCTATTGTAATGGCATAAAAAAGCTAGAACATCGCTGGAATAAGTGCATTGCTAACAAAGGAGACAACATTGAAAAATAAAAAAGTTTTAACATTATTTTGTTTGTTGTTCTATTTGAGGCCGCGAACTTTCCGAACAGCCCTCGTATTATGTATGTTTAAATATGTAATGTACATTTGAGATAAATGTTATATTTATTCAAAATGTGATGAGATCAAAAGAAAAAATTATTAGAAAGTTCCAATTTAGAATCTTAGCAAACATTTGATTTGAAATGGTTTAAATCTGAAGTAGGCCCCTAAAAGAGGCCAAAAACATTTGTAAAATTATTGTTATATGAGTTTTGTTAAAATTCATAAAATTATATATGGCCAATGAATGTGATGCAATATGTCTTAGAGCATATTACAGTTCTTCTGGAGCTGGGACTTTCAGAGAATTACACAATACTTTTCTCACTCTTCCAGCAAGAAAAGTTTATTTTGGCCATATATAATTTTATGAATTTTAACAAAATTCATACAACAATAATTTTACAGATTGCCTTCTCTGCTGTTAAATTTTCATGTTTACAAAGTAAAAAAAATTTGTAAAACCCATGACATGTCATATATTATGTATCGAAAAATGTATAAAGAGGTAATATACAGATATAATGTAAAAATATATATACATATGTATTTATTTTTATATATTTATATTACATTAAATATATAATTTTTTTCCAGAGCAATACGTCCTCGCCTTACTATGTATGTGTGTTTATCAACAGAACAAGGTATACTTTATATTTGGTTATTAGGATATTTTTGTTATAGTTACTTTGTCATATAATTCATACATATAATTATTATATTATCTTTTCTACATAGAATGAGCAAAGGCATATGTTTATGAAAAAAAAACAGAATATATAAAATTTGCAAATTTATTAATCTTTGCAAAACACTTATGTGAATCCCATTTTTTGAAAGACATAGTCTTGTTGCAGTTGATTATGCAACAATATACTTTCAAGATTTTCATTACGTAACAAATGCTGCAAGTTTATTTCTAAAATAATTATTGACGAGACTGTCTCGTCTCTAAAATCATGCTGCTGTCAACGGCTGCACACCTTGGAGGTATGAAGGAGTACATGTCAGAAGTTGCAATTTGGCACAGAGTATTTGGTGCCCAAATCATGTGCACATAAAATAAACCTGATATGTAGGTAGTCAGGGGACCAAGAACTGGGTCAAAATAAAATACAAAATGCTGAGATTGTTTCTACAAACAGGTACGAGTGCCAGATTTGTGCGTGAATTGCTTCCACTCTCTGAGACATATTCTCATCCCAAGAATGGCTTCGCTGTTTTACTTGTCTTTGTAAGTAATGTTACAAAATGATCAACACAACTGTCTATTGCCATTACAGAAAAGGTTTATTTATTTATGCAATTACTTTAGACATATAAAATTGTCCTCTTCTGGCAATATTATCATTCACAGAGAACAAGAATGTCACTACAAGCCAACCAATGCTGTAAGTCATCAGGCTAGATAACTGCTATAATACTAATAAATTATGAAAAAATTTGGTAATAGAGTGAGGCGTTAGGTGCCATCCCTTAATAAATTTAATAATTATAATTTTTAATTAAATAATTTAGAATCACTGGAAGAAAAGAATCGTCCCAAGCGGGATTCGAACCCACAACTCCTGCTAAGCAGAAGTTGCAGGGTTTAAGTAAATCAATTTGATGAAAAATGCCTGTGAGAAAACTAGTAGGTGTGGAAAACCATCACTGCCTCATGATCATGGGTTAATTAACAGAAAGTGGTCTCTTACAAACTCAATATCAGTAATTCATTTTCAGTTATTGTACATGGGCTTAGCATTGTAGTCAATACAGAATTTTTAACATGCTAAGATGAGTTGCTTTAATCCATTAAAAATTTTGTTGAAATTTTATGCATTTTTTTCAACACTACATTTTTGTTAGCAGATAATCTTTGTCAAGTAGAAACCTATATAATTAATTCAATGGTTACTTAGGCTAAAACATGATTCATCATTGTAAACAATGTGTTTTCAACTGCTGACATGAAACAGATTCAGTGCTTGGAATTGAACTTTAATGTGTTAAAGTTGTTCTGGCAAAGTTTTTGAAGCATTGTCTACTTGTTTATATTATTTCACACTATGATTTTATTTATTTATTTAAATATTTGACTTACATAAGGCTGCAAATCTGGAATGAGAACATAATTTTCCATTGAATTTTTTTTCAAAATTTTTGAATGTCATTGTTTTGTAATTTTGATCTTGAATGGCACTTCCATTTTTTGATTAATGGATTTTTCACTCTGAGTCATCTGCAAACCTAGTAGACAGTTCTCTCAGTGATTCTGATGTTTTTCAAAACTTTGGAAACATACATAAATCCAATAACTCAATCTTGTATAAATACAAATGATCTACTGTATTATATATGCCCAATAATATGGAAAATCATTTAGTATTCTTTGGCAGCTTGTCTTACAGACACATTTTGATAATTCTCAAATACTGCCTGAAAAATCTTCCTGCATTCTGGCATGTCCCTAGTGGACATTTTTGAAATAAGGTATTCAAAGCTTACAAATCACATTGTTTTCTGTTAGTAATATATCTAATGTATTTCTAATCAAAGTTTTGCATTATTCAATCATAAATTCTAATTTTTGTAAACAATTTTTATTTTTTTGTCATTTTTTAGTTATACATCCTTAAAAACTTGAATATTAATTTATTCAAAACTTTGATTTTGTAACATAATACCTTTATGCACTTGTTTTGTCAGTTCTTTTACAGATTTACTCTTATCCTTGTTTTTCTGTTTTTTATTGGCACATTTATTGTGTTTTGCATTACATTAACTGAAAAGTGTTGCTAACATAAATATATGCTAAACTCTGTTAAGCAGTTGTTTAAGTAGTATAAAATTTAAATGATGACAATATTTAATTATTATTTATTAATATTAATAGTCAAAGCTTAAAACATTTTCTAGAAATCATTGTGTTATAATAATTTTTGTTTATCTGTTTTGGAAAGAAATGGATATAGTATCAAAAGAAATATATTGAAGCTGCATAATAAATATTCTGAAATTATTTTATCAGTAAATATGTTATGCTTCTAAATAAAGTTTGAATAAATATTTAAAGAATGTGTTGTATCTCATCATATTATTGAAAATAGTCATAAGAAAAATAATTATATAAATTTTAAATTTGCATATGTTAGTTGGTAAGATAAAATATGCATGCAAATTTCAAAATCAACAATTGAAGCTCTATCTTTTATATTATTTTCAAGAAATACAGAACAAATCAATTCTTGTAAGACATTTCCATTTTTTACAGTGGTATAAATAAAAGAAAATAAGAAGTGCAGAATATATTTATAAAACAATTAGTTTTCTTTTATTATTTTCCCTGACATCATTAAATGGGTACAAATAAGAATATCACCAATAAGGTAATTCATTTTCTGTTTTAATCTTTAAAAAAGTTCAAGTTCTCAAATGATTTCTATTTTAAAAATAAAAAAATTGTAGAAATTTTTCATTAACTACATTTTCTTTAAAATCAAATACAAATGAATTTAAACAAGATTACATTCTTGTTTGAATATTATCTCATTTAAATTATTTACAATTAAATATTATGAAGTGATTACTTTAAAAGATAATATTACAGTTTTGACAATTAAATACCAGGATTGAGTTTATTAAAAGCATGAAAAAACATACAGAACAAAATTCAATGTATTAATTAAAGATAGCTGACTAGTTTAATGCTTTTTTCAGATAATCATTCATTTTATTATTTATTACTTGTACTACTTGTATTCTGCTAATTATTGTGATTATTTGTAATGTCAAATCAAGAAAGGAGAAATTATTTAATTGGATTAAAATATAATTGGACTTTCAAGGTTGATATAAAACAAATTTATTGTGAATTTTTATCATCTGAAGACATAAAACAAGAATTTAATGAGTAATAAAAATGGAGTTAGCTCCTTCACATATGCAGACTTGTTCAGCAGGAATGATAAACAAGTTTGACAAAATATGAAATTATTGAAATAAATTTTCCCTTCTTCTTAATTTATTGCCTGTGAATTATTTCCTGTTTCTTAAAATTAAATTGAAATTAAAAAGAGAACAATTTGAGGATTTAAAGATTAAATGCATTGTGATAAAAGAATTATTGGTGATGTAAATATAAATTAATTCATAAACTTATTTCATCTTTTATGCATACTAAGATCTGCAACTTTTTGAAGAGGATTTTTTAAACAATATTAGAAAATTTTCATTTTAACTTTCTTTAAATTCACATTGTTCTGGAACTTAATTGCCAAACCTTGTATGAAATTTAAACTTTTAATTTTAAATATTTAAGATTTTGTTATGTTTAATTATTAATGGGCATTAATGATTTCTGTAATTTAATTTTTTTTTCTTACAGTATTTCGTGCTGTTTATTTAGAAAATTTGACTGTTTCTGATCTTAGTACTAAACTTGGATCATTATTCAGAATACCAACTCATTACATTCATGAAATCTACATTAATGGTCCATCTGGAATCCATATTCTAGTTAATGATGAGGTAATATATTATGAAAGACAATATACACTGACATGCAGTGTTTTATTGATTCTTTTTTTAATTCTTTGATAGTGATAATATTAATAAAGACAAATCTGTAAAGCCAAAAATCACAGAATTAGTACATATTAAATACCATTTTATTTTGATAAATTTGGAAATTTATTATTAATGAAAACAATCATGATACCATTATGACTTTTTTATTGATGGTGTTAATTTTATGTTATTACAGTAGAGCCTCGATTATCCGACCCCCGATTAACCGACCGTCCTAGTTGGCAAATTTCAAATGTCTGCTAGTGATGTGGCGCTACAATATTTGGCTATGTCTTGGCTACTTTAATATTATTTTTACGTGTTTTAGCTGGCAACACTCATTCGACCATGAAAGGGAGCTAGTATTTAAATGAGGCTTAATTTTCTAATTTTTAACGATACAATAGCAACAATTATTATTTTAAAAAATTTTTGTTAGGCTTAACATCGATGAAAATTCAACGC